AATACACTTTTAAGGTGCTTTTTCCAAACAACACTACTTTTTTTCTTTTTTTTTTTTGTATGTATTTAGATGCTCCCAGAAGTTCTTACGGTCTTATCATAGAGCACCGCAGGATAGCATTTAATAGGAAGTTCACGCCTCCTTCCATACCAATGTCGCTTGCTGGGCTGGAGTTGGCGTCGAACCTCGGACCTCTGGGTTCTGAGCCAGAACTCTAACCACTGCGCCACACTGCACCACGGCACTATTCTATTCTAAATAACATTGTTGTAAAAACTGCAAATAAACAACTCTTATTTTACAAGATAAAAATTGTTGTTTTAAAGTATGGATTTTAAATAAATTAAATTTTTTTTTTTCAGCTTAATGTGGTTCTTCACAGAAAAGGCTAAGTTTTGTTAAAAAAATGTTTTTGATTTAAATTTTTCACCAAAAATGTGGTTGTATAAACTATTTACAAAAACCAACTTGATGGTTTTTGTAAATAGTTTGTAAAAAATGTCTCGATTACCCAGTTATTTAAAAAATGAATAAAAAACTAGCAGTTTTTGTGACAAGCTAGCAATTAAAATATTTATCATATCAAGCTAAAAATTGGTGTATATATTAATGAGGTATATTAATCTGGATAAGTGAAGCTTTTTTATTACTTATAGTATATTAAAGGTTACAACATTTGAAACAAACATAGGAAAATTGCTGGACGAATGTCCGACAATTTTTCTCATAAAAAAGTCTCATAAAAAAGTACTTTCCTTATTTTGTTATTCTCATTCGGATTCTTTTTAATTATGTGAAAAATCAAAAAAAAATTAGATCAAAAGCTTAAACGAGTTTAAAGTTATCATATTTTAAAGATTTGAATTTGAGGCAAAACTTAATTCTGAGGAAACCACAAATATAAAAAACAAAAGAATAAAACCATAATAAAAAGTTCATATAAACATATCAAAACCCTCCAGGAATTTATTGTGAGTTTTTTCTTTATCATCTTTGTCTAACTAAGTCTTTTTAATTGTTCTTAGCTATTTTTTTCTCTTTTTGAAACGTTCAGTGGACTTTTGAAGAAACCGCTTTATAGTTTCTTTATTATTTTTATTAAGTTTCATAGAGGTAACATATCCTGTTAGTTTATATTCATTTAGTACAAATAGGATTCCATTAGGACCTTCATTAAATTCAATAACAGATGATTTAACTGCAGACTCTAAGAACCCTCTGCCCGCAAAAATATTTTTTGAGCAGCATCTCCAAATAATCTCGTTAAGTGTGTCTTTGGCGTTTTAGTAAATCATCTGATGATACATTACTAAAAGTTGGTTTTAAAATTTTGAAGACTGAAACAGAAATATTTACTTGCTCCACATAAGCATGTTCACCATGTCTAAATGATATTTGCACTAAGTCTCAGTGTCTCTTGGGCACATGCAGTCGACATTCCTTGTCGTCAAAATCTGTACATTGAAACAAAACTGCCGAAACAGCTTTTTTCATAGCATACAAATTGTTAAGATTGTTTTTTATTTCTAGGCTATAGAAGTTCTGCATAAAATTGATCAAAGATTTAGTTAACTTTCTTTTTTCATGTAGTAGTGTGCTTGTTCCTTTGTAAGTTTATACCTTACAAAATCTAGTGTCCATTTTCTTCTGTACAATTTGTATAAATTTTGCAATAAAAAATGTTATCAGGAATTTTAGGAATTTAGTTATAATCAATAAAATTGCAGCAAAGTAAAGTTTTCAAAAATTTGTGTTAGAGGGTGTCATCGACAAGACCACATTAAAATGGTAATTTTCCTTTGCATTTAAAGCATCTATGCAAAAATTATGACTCTCAAACTTGTGATTAATTAACTTAAATAAGATACATACTTAATGATATTAATCATGATTTTTTGTAAATTGGTATATATAATTTTTTTTATAAAAAATAATAAAATAGTACTTTACTAAATAGGATAATGTCAGTCTCTCTGGTTAAGGCTATGAACTTAATTAATGAAACACTTTTGAATTTTTAAAAACTATGAATAACTGTATTTTTATAAAAATCTGTGAAAGTGATACCCAATTATGATTTTAATAACCTAGCAATTATTTTAATGTGCATTTGCAAAGAACATATATTAGCATTTTGAGCAGTTTATTGGAGTTATGCTTGTAGGTTACTTAAGGGATTTGCTAAAGGTGGCTAGCAAATAACTCTTCAACATGTAATATAAAAGCTATTTGTTGGCTATCTAATATGGCGGCTGCCACTAATGGTCCACTATGTAACTAATGAGCCTTTTTACAGTGGAAAAAGGCTCATTAATAAAAAGTGAGAAACTCTCAAAATGCCTATAAAAGTCTACTAAAATTCCGCTGTAAAATGTTTGCTGGGAAGGTTATTTAAAACAACATTTTGCTGTGTGTATTTTTTTCACAAAGTCAAAATTAACTTTAAAATACTTAAATTGATTTTAAAAAAATACGTTAGATGATTGTTGTATAGTTTTCAAAAATAATCAAAAATAGTGTTATTTGTGTATTCAAAATGAGCGCATTTGTTAAATATAAACGTTATATTAAAAGCTTTATTTATTTATTTAAAACTTATTTTCATAAAGGTTCAATTTATAGTTTTATATTCTGTAATAAAAAGATTTCCCCTGTTTTAATTGATAGTCCGTTTCTTTACTCTGAAGTCCTATAACGCGCCTCTAAGACTTTGAATAATTTCCGTTCAATTTTACAATTATTATTTGTATCAATTTTATTTTTTGGATAAAAAAAGAGTAAATAAGTTTTATATTAAAATAATAACTTAAAAATCATTGCAAAATAGACTTTTCAAATTCATTTATAAGCGAAAACCAGAAAGTTGGGTAATGCAACCTGTGTAGTTTTGGTAATGCAACACCTCACAGTTAAAACCAAATTTTCAAAAAATCTTTTTCGTTTCAAAAGCAAAGTTTATATTTTTTACACATTCGATTTAGCAAATATTACATCCAGCAAAAAAAATTTCTTGAAAACGCATAAAAAAAAATTTTTATTAAACGTTTTTTTTTTGAAAACCCAAGTACGAGATTTGTTAACTAATATATTAAATAAAGTTTACTTGAACTCAGAAACTTAAAAACACCACAATGATATGAAAAATATCAAAGTTTAGAAATGTGGATTTATTTAGTTTATAGCTTAATTTGAAGAAAATGATTTAAAAAAACATACCCGAATATCATTTTTATGATCCCCATGCATAAACCCTCTTTTTCGATGCATTCGGTAATGCCACACATTTTTTTAAATGGCTCTTAAATTTACAATTTTTTCTCAATATTTTTTTTCAAAAATGACATACCTAAAATTTTTAGATCTTTCTTATTAATAATACTGAAAAAAAAAATTAAAAAATATTAAGCGACATGGCAATAATCTAAAATCCTGTGAGCCGATGACCTTGTTGCAATAACGAACAGAGGACCATATACTGATGATGATGATGATGATGATGATGATGATGATGATGATGATGATGATGATGATGATGATGATGATGATGATGATGATGATGATGAGTTACTAATTGAGTTAGATTTTAAATAAATTATTTTTTATATTTTAACAAGTAAAAAAGGTTTTACAGTGATTAAACAATAGATCTTATACAATCTTATATATTATGCAAAATATATTTTGACTTATTATAATTTTGAATTTGAATTAAAAAATAATAAATCAAAATGAACGCACTAACATGATTTTTTGTTAAGATTATATTCAAACCTTTATTATTTTATCAAAAGTGTTTTTATCAATATTTAGTTGAATTGAAAATTAATTTGTATTTCTTATTTAACTACTTTGTCTAAACATTAGGATTTAATTAAATTCTAGAACATTAGATATTTAAGTAGTTGAATTTTTTACCTTAGACACATTAAAACAAAGAACACAAATATTATTATATTAATAGTATTATATTAGAACTAGAAGAGCTATTAGTACATTATTTTAATCCAGTTTATTTTAATATTAGTGTTAAACTAGTATTATTCCTGTTAATGCATATTTAATAATCTCCTTTGATGTCTTTGATAAGTAACATCACAACTTTTTTAATATAAAAATTTTTTAGTTTTTATGCTGAAAGCCAACAAATGTTTTTGTTCTAAATGTTTTTCTTTGTTGTCGACTTTTTCATTTTATTGCTATTTTGTTTCATTGAATTGTAGTTGTCATAGCAAAGATAATAATTTTTGTTACACTCATGAAACTAACTCATTGAACTATTTATACTCAGTATAAATATGATGATTTATACTCATATTTAGATGATGATGATTTATACTCATAAGTATACTCGGAAACAACATAAAATTCTCATATAATGAGGGTGTTACAATATTTCTTTGACCTTGCAAAATAAACTTTCCTTATTTAAAAGATCATTAGAATGTGGTACATACATATTTATGTTGCAGGTTTTATTTAATAATGGAAAACCCTTGGCTTTTTTACAATTAGACATCAAAATCAATAAAAAACTAATTTATGCATGGCTTTATTTGCCTAATTTTAGAAACAATACTAGTAAAAATTTGTTTATAAATATATCAAGTATTAGAGTAGTTTCAACTAAATTAAATGGAGTCAAACAAAAATTTTTAAACTCAGAGAAAAAATTTGAAATTTTAAAGGGATCCCAAACCTCCGAGACATGTTGTGTTCATATTAAAGAGAATGATAAAAAAAAAGATTGATTGTGTAAACAAACAAAAAAATCAATGACGCCATGTACTAAGAAATAAAACGCCATGTACTTAGAAATAAAACGTGCTTGTATAAATTATCAAGTCTGTAGATTGCGGCATATATTATGCTGACTTTTTGGCCTCCAACAAAACAAAGAAGGCAAGCTTTGACTAAAATTTAGTCTAAACATTTTTTTTTTTATCATTCTCTTTAATATGAACACATGTCTCGGAGGTTTGGGATCCCTTTAATCATTTTACCTGGATTTACTTTCATATACTCTTCAAACTTTTCTCGTTCATAACTAACTGCTTCCTGTATAAGAACTGGTTTTAACGCTTTAAGCTGATAATTGGCAAGATCTATTTTCATCAAGTTAAGAAGTTCTAGTATACCTCTAATAATAAAGTTGTCATTGTTATCTATGTAAATATAATTCTATTAAAATTAAAAGTCTTTCTTATATTATATTGCAGTAAAATTTCATGAAAGGTTTATAAAAATAAATGAACACGTTATAAAAATAAATGAATAATTAAAAAATAATAAGCAGAATAACTTTATACAAACCACAATACATTTTTACCGTAATAATGGAATAATTTCCTGTGTGTTTCTAAGTTTTTTAATATCATCATCTCGAACAGGGGCACACAATTTAGATAAAGTTTCTAAAACAAAATTCCCAAGACTAACTATATCAAATGCGTTGTTTGCAATTTGCTGAAATATCAACTCTTGATCCAGGGTTTCTTGTATTTCTTGAAGCAATGAACTCTGTTTAGACGGTACTAACTCTAAAATCATCTAAAGAGTAATACATTAATATAAAAATTTTAAAAAGTATTATTAAACTAATCAAATTTCAGATTTCAGATTATACAAATCAGATTTCAGTTTTACACAAAGATAATAAAACTTTGATATAAAAAAGAATTTAGAATAAATAATAAGAAAATCTAAGTAGATCTTCTAGATCTACTTAGAAAAAAATCTAGAAGAAAAATTCTAAAAGGTGAAACGACTATATGAAAACTAAGGAGAGAGAAAAAAAAAAGTAAATTATGTTAATTTGGGAATTTTGGAATTATAGAATATAATAAATGATATGACATTGTGATTCTCTGTTGTAGAAAAGTTAAGCATATTAAAATTCAAAATTAAAACTTCATCTTTTTTCATGTAGAAATTATTCAAAAAATATTTTTAAAAGAAATTATTCAAAAAATATTTTACCTGTTTCATTTCCATAAGCAACATAAATGCTTTCTCATACTTTGGAGGTTCGCTTAAAACTTCACTCTGTAAGATATCCCAGAATGCAGCATGTACAATATCATGAACAGTTTTTTCAAGACTTAAAAACAATAAAATATTAAGAAATATTTTCAACATTAAATGCATTTTGGGAAAAAAAAACAATTTCTTATTTTGATATTTATATTTGGACTACAAAACTTTTTATGAGAAGATTAACAAAATTATATGTAAAAAAAGCAACAAGATATCAAGAAATATTTTCAACGCAAACATTACATGCATTTTGAGAAAAAAAATAAATTAATATTTTGATATTTATGTTTGGACTACAAAACCTTTTATGAAAAGATTAACAAACTTATATGTAAAAAAAATAATAAGAAGCGAATTTGATCTAAACTTCAAGACTAAAATAGACACAAAACTCAATTGTGAAAAATTGTGAAAAGCTCCATAAAATTTGATAGCAATCATAGAAAACTTTTTTAAAAAAAATTTAAAGCAGAAATTAATGTCTAGAATTGTTTTGTATTCAATTATGTGCATGTGTATGTGCACAAATATCTTTGCATACTTTTTCCTTACAAAAAATGAGATCAATAATGATTTACTTAAACAGCCAGGTGCAGGGGGCTTTAGTACATATCTTGACTGAAGCTATAGGCGATGATAAAAATAGCAAGGATGTATCCCTGACGAGTGATGCTAGCCATTTCTTATCAGGCTCTCTGAAACATCATTGGTGAATATATTGTGACCCTGAGGATGGAGTTTCACCTACATTAGTCTACTACTTAATTTTAATTGGATCTTACAACACTGTGATTTTTGTTATTTTTTTACTTTCTCTTTTTGGTTAATATATATTTTTATATTTTGTATTATTATTTTTTATTTTCTCTTTATACATGCGTTTGTATATATAGATTGATATGTTTTAAACATTTTTTTATATATTTGTTTATATTAAATTAATATATATGTGCCGATCTCAATTTTTTTGATGTCGGCATCAGCTCGGCAAAAATTATTTGATACAAAGGTCTGACCATAAAACATAGAAGCGAGGTCGGCAATTTTTTGCCAACCTTAACACTTTTAGGTCGACAATTAGGTTGGCCTTGCCGAATGCCGACCCTAATTCTGAGAATTGTACATAAACATTACAAAACTTTTTTCTAAAAAAGTTTTGTAATGTTTTTTTTGATAAAAGGTAAGGTTTCCATTAAATTGCAACAGACGCAATAGTAATACAGTGAGCAAACTCAAAACAATGTTTATATATAAGAAAAAAAAAACTATTTTAGTATTTTTAACTTTTGTTTTCCCTCCATCAATTTACATATAGTTACAAGTTCATAGTATACTACAATTAAAAATTAAAAATCACCACCCCTACTACTGGAGAATTTAATGCTAATTTCTCGTAGAGCTTAAACAACTGGATGTAAACTGTCTTCTCATTTTGTTAAACAATTTGCAGTTTTAAACAAAATCTTCACTTACAGCACATAAATTAAATTTGTATTTCTAAACAACGTTCTTTCTATGAGCAATCTAAAAAACTATGACCATTTTTTTTGTAAAAAAAAACAACTTCAAAACTAAAAAATCACTAATTCATAAATTTGCTATATACTTAATTTACTGCACAAAATTTAATTGCTACATTCTTTAAAATATTGTCTGAAGCTATGCTATTATAAAGCAATCCTTTTATAATCAACTAATCATTAACCCTATCATAACAGAAAGCAAAAAATCCTTCTTTTTTTTTGCTGACCTGATGTCGGCAACTGACTGTGTGTGTATATATATACATATATATATATATATATATATATATATATATATATATATATATATATATATATATATATATATATATATATATATATATATATATATATATATATATATAAATATATATATACACATACATACATACATACATACATACATACATACATACATACATACATACATACATACATACATACATACATATACATATTCAGTTAATTTTTCTTTGTTTTGTTTGAACATTGTTTTATTTGTTTTTTATTAATTTTGTTGTTGATTTTATTATATTTTTTATATTAATTATTTTGTTTCAACATCGACATCTATAGCATGATCAGTTTGAGCGTCAGCCTGATAAGCTGAAAGCTTGTGGTTCAATTCCCACTTTGAGCATCATATTATGTCAAATTTTGTATTTTATATTCTATTTCTTTTAGACTTTGTGTGTGGATCATATTTTGTCTTATCATTTCTATTACATGCACAATGTCTAAATTATCATTTATTTTTTACTATAAGCTTTACTATAGTGTCTTTGTTTTGTTCTGAAAATCTGTTCAAAATATCTTTTTAATTTTTTTATTTTTTCTCTTATCCTAATTTTTTCCTTATTTCACTTGGGCTTGGCAGCTTGGTCTTGTTCTTGTTCTTTGATGCATATTTTTGCTTTTTTTTTTTAAACTTTTAAAGCAGAAATTAATGCTGTGTCTAGAATTGTTTCATACTTCAACTTATGTGCATATGTGTGTGCACAAATATCTTTGCATACTTTTTGTCTTGCAAAAAATTAGATTGATATACTAAAACAGCCAGGTGCAGGGGGCTTAAGTACACACCTCGACTAAGGGTTTGAGTTAGGCAGGTACAATCCTAGGTGTCCTAGTCCTAATCTTAGATTTTATTTATGTCTTTAGTGACATAAATGTACATAAAGATTTTGCTGTACCCAACAAATTTTGTTGGCTCGGAAAAGAAATAAAATTTTAAACATTTCAATATTTTAAAAATATAATATACTGGTATAGCAGTATTGTACTTGTATTATTACCAACATCATTTAAAACACTGTTCATAAGGAATATTTACAAATACATAAGGGACCAAACATAGGCCAAATATAAATTTACTTTGTGCTTAAGTGCCATAACAACCTAAATAAAAAGGTTGCATAAATATTTCTGAAGTAAACTTGAAAATAATATTCTATAAACAAAAAATATCAACTATAATGTTCACATCAACAGACATAATTTATAATTTTGTAAACTTGTGTTATTATTGTTTCAAATTTTTCACTATTTTCATCAAAAGTTCGTCAAAAACTGTTAATGATGTCAAAAATGTTTTATTTTAAGCAAAAATAAAAAGCCAATTTTGGAAAAATTGGTAAAAGATAAATGATGGGAGTTTTTAAATTCAAAAAAAAGATTGTAAAATGAATTAAATTTTTGCTTCATTTTTTTTTATTCTAGTTTAGCACTTTTTGTTGTGTGGTTTATAATAAATGAACTCTATGTATTTTTTGTTTGTACCTATGAATGACCTATGAACCATTATTTTTCTGAAATCTTTTTTCTAAATTCTAAAGATAACGTATTGTAGATGTTTTGTATTTTTGAATTAAATTGTTAATTCAGCTTATAAACCAAATTGTCTAATTAAAGAGAAAATCTTTAAGTCTTGTTTGTTTTTTTACCAAACAAGAAAGTATTTCTTTTATCAATGTTTTAGAAAGAATAGATTGATTAAAGACGATGTGCAGTAAAAAATTAATTCCAGTTTGCAGTTAATCAAATAAAAATAATAATTAAAAAAATCTATAACATTGTTCTTATAAAAGTTAAAACTTAGTAAAATAAATATTTAGGAATTCAATAGAACTCCTAAAATATTTATTACCAATTATTTGACTTTTTGACTTCTTGAATACTAAAATGTTTTATTTTTAATAAAATCTTTTTTAATCTAATACTAAAATCTTTTTTTGACAACTATTTAATAGTTTCTGACTATTATTTTCACTTTTTATCTTCTATTGTCATAAACTTCTATTATCTTTTAAACTTTTCATTATAATTTAAACAATATTTTATTAAATATTCTGGAAGAAATATTTAATTCTTTTAAAATGTTTTAAATCTTGCAACATGTTATTCAATTAACTCCCAATATATATATATATATATATATATATATATATATATATATATATATATATATATATATATATATATATATATATATATATATATATATATATATATATATATATATATATATATACATATACATATACATATACATATACATATACATATACATATACATATACATATACATATATATATATATATATATATATATATATATATATATATATATATATATATATATATATATATATATATATATATATATATATATATATATATATATATATATATATATATATATATATATATATATAGTCAGGTTATTCTTCAAAAAGACCTGATAGTCTTTTCACAGAGCCCTGCAAAAGAGAAATCAAAAAAAAAGTTCATGTCATCTTTCTTGTTAATGTTGCAAATATGACAAATAAAGTAAAGTTTCTTCAAAAGTACTCTTTATTCAAAAGTATACCTTGTTTAATAGTACACTTTGTTCAAAAGTACTCAATTGTGAACTTGATTTACATTAAATAAAATTAATACTTTTGGTTAATTGCATATTTTTCACAAAATCTTTTTCATAACAACAGTTATGAAAAAGTCACAAAAATCTTTAAAAAAATTTGACTTAATAAGATATTTAAAAATATGGATATCTACCTTGCACTCAAAGCTATATTAAATAGGCTGTTTACAATTATTTTATGTACTTTGACAATTGATCACAAATCTAATTTCAATATATTTTTTTGTGATCTTATTTTTTAAATATGTATGCCCTAAATTTGGTTTCTTTTGTATTAACATTTTTAAAATCTTCATTTTTTGAACACCTGTGCTGCTCATATTCTAGTATGTTCAATGTATGACTTCTGTTATGACTACTACAGTTTTACAGTGATAAAATCATAACATTTTAAATTCAGAATCAATATCAAATTTGGTTTAAATTAGTTAAATTACTTTTAAATTTAAAAATGCAGCAAATAAAAAATAGAGGATAGGTTAAAATACTAGAAAATGGTTAACTGAAGTTGTCGGATGTATTAAAAAGGAAAATATGAAGATGGGGAAGAGTTATAAAGCTTTTTTGATGTGCAAGGAAAAAAACTGGCATTATAAAAATTTATAGTCTGAAAGGACA